AAACTCTAGATTAACTTTTAATATTAATTATGTTTAAACCGAATCTCTTTTTCATTATCATAAGTTCTTTTCTCTTCTCTTCTCTTCTCTTCTCTTCTCTTCTCTTCTGTTCTCTTCCTCTTCTCTTCTCTTGGTATGACTTTAAACTATTCAAATACATCAAATTTTCCTTTATATTTTAGCATTCCACCAAACCAAAGAAGCTATTACCTCTACCATGGTATTGCGCAAAGTGGTGTAGAGGAATGGGACTTTCTTTTCAGCCAGTACAACAAAACAAAACATGAGGGAAATAAAAGAAAAATTCTGTTTGGTTTGGCTGCATCTAGTGAAGCCTGGATCATAGAGAGGTTAGTTTGACATTAACAGTTGCAAGGGCGGATCCAGAATTTTTTGAAGGGGGGGGTCTCAGGGGTAAATTTGTGGGCAAAGTAATCCCAGTCGCATTTTTACCACAGGAAGCCCATTTGACCTCAGGAATGACAGGGGGGTTGCGACCCCCCCGACCCTCCCCCTGGATCCGCCCTTGAGTTGCTCGAAATCATAAACTGATTCCAGAATCTTTTTAGGAGGACGATATTTTGTTTATAGACATCGTATTGTTGATATTATAATGTGTCAACCACTTTAACAATAGGTTTTGCCAATTTGCTTTATTGGCTTGTCCAATAGATTTAAAAAACAATCAGACAAAACCAATTACGTCATCGTATACGCCAACCTATTTTATAGTGATGATTGATCTTTCGTTACTTCACTCCCTTGGAAATGATTGAAAACTAGCAATTGTTTCATAACATACGTGTGTTCACAGGTATTTGTCGTATGCACTTCTTTCTGGAACGTTTGGCAAAGAGGACATTAGAGTGCTCATATATATCGCTAAATACAACCCGTTTGGCAGTCAGTTGGCGTGGAGCTTCGTTCGTGCTAACTGGAAAAGATTAGTCACACGGTAAGTAGCAACATTGACGCTAATGCACGCAATTTTTGCTGGCACGCACATGTATTATAAATCTTTTAGGATATAATTTTTTACAAGTTTTGCGCGCAGACTGTCAAGCTGCGGTCCCTTCTCATTTAGAAGCGCTGTAACTTAGAGCGGCGCAAATCGAGATTTGTAATTTCACGCTCTCATTTACTCCTACGAACGACTACCTTCTGAAAGTCAGTACTTRACAACCTTTTTTACATGATGTTTAAATTAAGTCCTTTTTATCCACTCGGCTCTAATTTAACGTTGACTAGTTGTTGATTTTATTCTTAATATTCTTTGTTGTACACACAGATACAAAGACGCTGCAACGACCTATATGAAGCTCGTAGCTCCGATTGCGGATACCTTCAACAGTCCTTTTGGTCTGGTCGAGGTAAGATGAATAAACCGCCTGCGTTCGATTTCAAGCGGAAATAATGTGCCTGCGTTTTTCTACCAGCGGCAACCTTGCGTCCGTGTACATATCGAAAACGGCCACCTCCAAAACTTGAGCGAAAAGCCAGTTTAAACCGTCTTGAAGTTGTCATGTAAAATGAAACGAACAAAACGCTTTGGCCCGATGGTATGCCAGTGAAATCTTCAAATAACTGTTTCTGGACGTTTTGATTGGATAACCAGGAAAACTACGTAATGTGATAAGTTACTGGGTGCTGGTAAATAGCCTCTAGATCCATCTTCAGACATTCGTTAAAATGCTCGATACTCGGAGTTTATAGTAAATTAGAACTTTTTTTTAATAGACCAATAAGTTGTTTACCATACGTGCAAACAAACATTAGAGCATGTGCATGCTACGTCATAGCCGCCATGTTGGTTGACGATGATAACAAAGCAATCCTTATTAGCTTCTCTTGTTGGATCAACCAACATGGCGGTTGTTTCTTTGTTATTTATACTTTAAGGGATTTTGAGTCACATGGTTGCACACACTGTGTACATACATTTCTGAGATCTGCCTTTATTTACTAGATCTATTTTTAGCACGAAATCCACGATTCCATTTCTAAGGGTGATAGGTACTGGATAATCCAACCCTCCCCTTTAAATTGGGTCCAGTAAAATCATAATCCTTTTTGCCCTTTTCTTTATTTTTGTCTAAAGGTTCAAAGGTTTAACAAAGAGGTGAAGGTTAACCCTATTTATAGTGCTGTTGTAGAGGGAGGAATCAAAAAGCGCATACAATGGCTACAAAAGAACGAAGGGGACCTCGAAACTGCGCTGGAGCAGCTACTCCAAAAAYACAACCAAATATCACCATCTCTGGCATAAAAGTCTGAAACAAGAAGTCATTTTGTTACTTGAGTGTTTGAGAGCGGTTTTCGTAATATGAATGGGAAGCGTTATATTACGGCAAAATTATGGCCGTGTCGTAGTCGTACCGTATCTTATCGTAAACTTAACTTCGTGTTGTCATTGGACGAATTTCTAGGAGAAAATGAGAAACCATTTCAGTGTTCAAGGCATGCCGTACCGTGCACGTGCTGAAGGCAGTAATGTATGTTTCCTAGTCATAACGAAAACCGCTCTAAAGATGTGTTAATATAAGTAAAGTGTAGCTCTTGACAGCAACGAGTAGGAATTAGGCAATTAGTATTTGTCGCGCAAGACTTTAGGTAGATATTAATTTTTTATATAAATTAAATATAGAGCTAGAGAAAATACTGAAAAACTAAGTGGACTAAAAGCTCTTCTTATCAACCTCATGGCAGGCAGCATCATAAACGAAGGTCAAACCAAAAAAGCAACTCGTGTTTTTCCGAATGGAAATTGCTTATTTAACTGCAAATGTAAGCGAAAAGGAAGATTACTGATCGAGGCTTTGAATGCAAGAGGGATAGAAAAAACAACAACAATGCAATCAAATCCACTTCCACCTTAAAAAGTTTCAATATTGTATTCCACGCCATGCCATACCACCAAGACACCCGAAGTTTCGTATGGACTTCTGCCCGATATAACAGCATCAAATTAAGACCGATTCGTCCTTAATGAATGTACGGATTACGCAGCATAATGTTCTATATATCCCGAAGGTACCAGAGGAGAGATTAGCCGGCCCCCATAACTCATCTACAATTAACCCTGTTAAATGGAAAATAATGTAATCTATCCAATGAAGTCAAGTCCGGTTCAGAGAGGTTTGTACCTGGATGGGTGACATAAAACTTATACCTACTCAAAAGTTTATCTTTATAGATTTTTAATAAGATAAATTATGGATACAGAACTCTGATGTTTTTTTTACGATTCGCCGATAGTATAACCGATTTCTGTGTCTATRCCCAAAATCGCTTTGCCCAGACTCCGCGCGGCAGTTAAGCACCCAGTTCCCTATATTTACCGAGATATGTAGTAGTATTTTCTGTATTATACTCATCATTAAAGTTTTTTCTTGTGTGTGTGTATGAATTCTTTTCGTTTCTTTTTGAGTCGTCTGAGTAACAAGCCTCAACTCGATTATCAACCCGATTTGAATGCTGTCCCTGATCATATCAAATCATATCGGTGGGTCTTTCGGTGTTTTTGTTTTTGTTTTTGTTTTTTTTTAATAGTTAATTCAATTATATTTTAGGGGTTGGGATCTTGGGTGTGTAAATACCTTAGTAGGGGACTTAGTCCTATTGTATTTCACACCTACCTTAGGGTAAATCTTTAAAGAAAAAATAAAATAAAAAATAAAATTTAATCAAAGACCGGTCAAACGGGTCAAAGAGTTACGGCCGCTAAAGGACAATCGACTCAAAAGTCCCTTAAGAAATATATTACTAAATGATAAGACCTTTTAAAGATTCGTTTTACTAATTAAGATTTTGAGCGCTGGCTCAGTAGAGCGCTCCTAAAGCCCTTTATCCAGTCATTTTATTATACTGATACACTATATTGATATACTGCGCAGATCAGCTTAATAAGATACGTTATAACCGCAGTAGAAATATGTAGTTTATACATATTCTTAAAAACAACACTCCATTATCAAGTGTATAGTAGTTTAAGATCAATCGAATTAACATAATATATATTTAGGCACTGACTAAAAGTGGAGCTCCCGATACGGTCACAGAGAGAACAATTTGAAGGAAACTGAAAGGTAAAAATAAGATCGGGGGAAAAATCTTCAATTGTTTTTTATTCGAGATGAAGATGATTTCTCACATAATAAAAACCATGCAGAGAAATCGAATCGAAATGCACTACATTTTTTTCTTTTCTTTTTCTTTCTTTCTTTTTTATTTTTTATTTTTCTTTTTTTTCCTTTTTTTTTTWATTTYTTTGCGCGAGTATACTCTCCCACTTAGGAATTTTGTTCACAACTCACCACCCAGGGGCTAGTTTTGTTCTTGGAAGATTCTTCGACAAAGTTTTCCATTGCTGACAGTTTTAGGCGTTGAATCTCTTTTACTTTTGTGAGCAGAAAATTTAATTACGTCTTTCACAGAACGAGACGAAGTTTACATTCACTGAGTTAAACTTGACAAGAACAACTGAGACAAAATCGAAAATAATACAAAAGGCAATGCAAAATACAAAAGGACGAATTACTTTGTCAGTAAATTGGCGTTAGCAAGTGTTTTTGAATATTTTTTAGCGTTTTAAAGTGAAAGTCTACGTCTTTATACAATAACATCTCTCAACAACACAAATTTAAGCTCATTTTTATAATCACACTTGCTCGAACAGCTTAATAAACAGTTGAATGTTTGGTGTAAATTTATATATCATTCAATAATTAAATAGATCATCTGTAGAATAATATAAAATTTGTTTTGCCGAAATAGGTTTAAGAATACTTTTATAATGAAAAACACAGTTTTAATCAGCAATAGGTCTTATTAGATTCCCCTTTTTTAGCTTTAACATATATTTTATTCCTCCTTTTAGTATAGGTGACTAACATAATTTCATCTCTGACTTCCTCTGCCTCGGCGACACCGACTGTCGAGTGCTTGATTGCTCATGTCTTCAAGATTTTTTGTCAGATATCTAGCAAAAGCCCAATCTGTGAACAAAAACATTTTTCGTTTAGCGACGTAATTTATAATAAATGCATTCATTGTTATTCTGTGTTTATCGACGAGTTTCCGTTAATTTTAATTGTTATTTTGCCATTATTACAAGAAAATTAGCGAGGAAAAAATTCTAAGAGAAATTACGTCACGCGAGGATGAGTGTTTTGATACCCTCATCAAACATGGTTTTCGACCAATCGTAGCGCGCATACTATCCCAATTATTTTATAAATCGTAATTCAGCCAGCCCGGAGGCTGCAATAATATGACTAATAAAGCTATCTATCTATCCACTATCAATCTGTTTTCAAGTGTGTGGTTCATTGGTTTATCGCCACTAATCTGGCCTTCATACGAGGTTGTTTATTTGTGCATTGAGAAGTTGTGAGTTTGCGGTCTAGCAGACTAATCTTTCGTGACATTCAATGCAGCATGTATGTTGACAGATGGTATATTTAGATTTCCACCAAACGGGAAAAATTAAGAATATAAATACTCGGTACAACTGGTCGATGGGCTAATTGCACGTTAATTAAGTTAACTTTCTTCGTTAAAGCTGTCGTCGTTAGCATCAGTGATAAATGTGTTTATTATATAAACATGAGGGTTTTACTGGGAAATACTCCACTCGTATTTTTTTATACGAACTATACCAAGGACGTCAGTGACATATTTTCCATATCCTCACTAGTTAAGATATCATTGACGTCTTTTCCAATATTTTCAACAAGCTTTTGTTTGCAAATGTGTCTATATAACAAAAAGAAAACTACACGTTGATTTGAAGATATGAAGTTTATCTTCTCGTGTTGAAAAATATTTCCATCACAAGCGCTTTGTGCACTCCCAAAGACCTCTTCTCTTGCTATGTATAACTAAGTAATTACATTACAATGGACTACTTCGATGATATCGCGGCCATCTTGGATCTCAAGAAATTATGGAGCTTCCAGGGGCCGAGGCAAATAAAGCTTTGTTACATTAATGACGTCGATTGGTATTAACATCTCACCAGTGGAGGTTACAAAAAAAGATGTATTAAGACGGCACATCGATCACCTTTACCCATAAAAGAAAGACAAACACAAGGAGAAACTAGTTTCTGTCATCTTTCTTTCGCGCTGTATCGTGGAAGTAGTGCATTCACTTGACATTATCAGTTTGAATAACTCAGTCTTCTTGTTACCGAGTCCTAATTTTTACTTCATTTCTTTCTTACACTGTACTTGAAGTACATAATTATTAATAATAAGTTAGAATTTGCTTTATTGTTTTGTTGTAACCTATGATATAGTTTATAGTTATAAATTTTACAAATATTGGTTTTGGCAGCTGGACATTATATTCTTGTTTGATTCGAAATTTGTTACTGATCTGATCAATAGCGTCTCCAAAAAACGTAACTGCAATGCATCTCTCCTACACCGCCTCGTGTCTGTTATGCAGAATATACAATATAAGACGATTCACGATGTATGACACTTTTCGAGGTTTTGCACCATCATATGATGGCAGTCATGACAGGAGGCGGGGACAATGGCCCAAGTCCGAGATATGCTTCGCTTGTCAAAAACAAAGGATTCAATGTGAGGCTTCATATATAATGCTCAGTATTTAGCACTTAGCCTCGTACGGAAACTTTTCTGCGTAGCAAGCTAGCTATGCATATTCAGTTCGGAAGTGAGCTTTTGAATTACACGAGAAAAGTAAGTTTCCCTGGAGGGAAAAGTACTTCTGTCATAGCTGCCCTCACGTGATCCTACAAAGCTCGATAGTCACAGTAAAGGTGTCTGCTAGTCCATCTACAAGGCTCGATAGTCACAGTAACGATGCCCGTTTGTCCATCTACAAAGCTCGATAGTCACAGTAAAGGTGTCTGCTAGTCCATCTACAAAGCTCGATAGTCACAGTAAAGGTGTCCACTAGTCCATCTACAAAGCTCGATAGTCACAGTAACCATGGCTGCTAGTCCATCTACAAGGCTCGATTGTCACTGTTACCATGGCTGCTGGTCCATCTACAAAGGTCGATTGTCACAGTAACGATG